CAACTCTGTATTAACGTTTGCAAAACACTCCTAGCAACATGCGCCAGCACGCCACAACTCTGTATTAACGTTTGCAAAACACTCCTAGCAACAATGCGCCAACGCGTGTCAACGCTAAAGGTGCGTCGCGTACCTTTGACGTATTTCTCGGGAGCTTGCATGTCGTATTGCTCCAGTATGACTCCGACAACAAAGTACTCGCCACGTGCGAACAGTCCCTTCTGTTGCATGTACTCCATGATACCGGCATACTCGTGCGGGTCCCCCACGACCACGTAGACTGCAATACAAGCACAGTGAAAACACGCAGTGCACGTGTCACTCTTACTCTCACCATCCTCATCTTTTCCGTATCCTTTCCATCAATAACCTCCTCCTCTCCCTCCTCCTCCCACACATCATCATCATCATCGTCATCATCATCATCATCATCGTCATCATCATCATCAACATCATCATCATTGCCATCCCCATTATCATTTCAATCATTGTCATTCCCCGTCTCACCCTCCCCCTCTTCCTCCCCTCCTTCTCCTTCTCCTCCTCCTCCTCCTCCTCCTCCTCCCCATTCTCTTAACCTACATCCTCATCTTCATATTAATAATTGGGGACCACACGCGTGTTTTGCACTGCTTATCTCTCGCACGTTAATTAACACTCTCGGATACTCGTATGTCGCGGCTGCGTAGAATAACATTAGACGGGTTATGATTAAAAAATCATCGGATCTCTATAGTTCACAGGAAAAACTACCATCTAACTGGAAAAGTCAGACCTGAAAAAGTCTATCGCTAAGATAGGCGAACATTTCGTCAGTGTAATTTTGTATAACTTTATTATGGATCTAATTCAGATTAACTTTATTTTCCCATTAGACGGGTTAGTTGAGTCACACGCCCACCCTTCTCCCAGTTAAATATACACGCGGCATTGTATGTCACCCCAGCGCATGCGCGTATATCCCCCGATGTTGTACTAACAAACCACACACACACAGGCACTTGGGAGCGTTGCAATAAAATATAATGCTAAATAAATACGAAATTTATTTACTACCAAAGTCTTAATGTTTTAATCAATGTCTACCAAAGTCTTAATGTCGAAATGTTTCTCTACTCTCTTTCGCCTATTATTACATATATATATAATTATATATATATATATGTGTGTGTGTCAGTGTGCGGCAGCGTGCGTGCGGTGTAGGCCTACATGTGTGTTGCAGAGGAGCATTTGCACGGCATTTACAGGAAATTGTTGGCAATAATAGGCGAAAGATAGTAGAGAAACATTAAGACTTTGGTAGTAAATAAATTTCGTATTTATTTAGCATTACATTTCATTGAAACGCTCCAAGTGCCTGTTCACACACACACACACACACACACACACACACACACACACACACACACACACACACACACACACACACACACACACACACACACACACACACACACACACACACACACCACACACACCCACACTACACAAACCACACACACCAACACCACAAGCTACAACCACACCCACACACACACACACACAACACACACACCACACACACACACACAACACACACACAACGACACACACACAGCGCCACACACACACAACACACACAACCACACACACACACACACACACACAGGCGCTCACACACACACACACACACACACACGAACAACACACACACATCACATCACGACACCAGCACATCACACACACACACACACACACGAGCGATTGCATGACCTCCGTTTGCGCGAGGTAATACATATCCAGATGTCCCGCAGACCGTTGATGTCGCGCTCGTCGCAACCACCCGCCACGTTAAACGTTCAAGCCTTCCGACAAATCGATCGTAAACTCGCTCAAAAAAGAATCGGGGATCTTCGAACACACATTAGGAGATTGACGTGGTTGTAGACGCGCTAGGCTCGGCCAGACAATAACTGAGGTAAATTGAACCCCGCGATGTCGATCCTGAGTGAAAGGGGCGAAAGGAAAGAGTCGCGGAGGTTAAGCGTGTTATTATTCAGAGGGACACCAGCCAGCCGGGGGGGGGGGGGGGGGTTTGGCGAAACATTTTATGCATCCAGCGTGTGTTTCTCACTCCGAGCGGACACGCGATGATGCTGCACCCTGCGAAGCGGCAACAACTATTTGCTGCTTCGAAACTGAAATGGGGTTAGCTCAGCAAGCGCATACAGTTTTTTTTAATCAATATAATCGCATGTATTTTCGACGAAAAACAGCTCGGTCGTGTCCGCGGCTTGTACATCCGCGTCTGGCTGCGTTACATGCGAAGTACGTCCGGGAAGATCATACACACGCTACATGCGCCAACACACCAGGCCGCATGCGCACGCACGCACACATCACACACATTACACACCCACACTCACACACAAGCCGCGCACGACCTCCACGCACAGCACGCAACACGAACACCACAACACACACACACTACACACACCGACACACCACGCAACAGTCACCACCACACACATCACTAGAGCACAGCATATCCCGACTCTTCCCCTGGGGATCCAGAAAGACCGGATACTAGAGGGCGCCCGCATATAGGTGAGGCGTTGATCGCTGACCGCCTGCAGCGCCGAATATGCGCGCCAGTAGCTCGCGGCAAGACGCGGTGTTGCCACAGCACCTAATCTGCGCATCGTACACCATGCACAGACAACACACACATAAACACAGATGCGAGGAACGACTGTGACGAGTGGAAACAGATCTCGGTCATAACTCCTCAATTAGTGTTTAGAATGGGGGGGGGGGGGCGGGGGAAATAAACATCGAGGGTATAAACGGATAGCGCATTCGCTCTCAACAGCTACAGCTGCACTCTCCCTTGTGTGAAAATGGCGCGGCATTCATTGCACACATGCGCTCATACTGCTCTAGCTGACTGGGCATCGTTCGTACATCGCCTAAGTAGTGTAATCGCGGCAAGCTTTGTGACGAATGCAAGTCGGTGATCGTTCAATTTCAGAGAATATCGATCTCGTGACGATGCATGTATCGAACGTTTTCACCGTGACTCCGCCGCGCCGCGCTTTATGTCCAGTTTCTGTCAGTCACTGACCGGAGCATCTGTGCGAGTCATTGATCTAAAACACTCCTGTCATACTGGCTAAACACCCCGGACGCTCACTGTGACAGCGGTCCGACCCGCTAAAATTGAACCAAGAGCGTTCGTTGAACGGCCGCACATTTCAATCGTTTGCGCGCGCGAGCGTGGTACTAGCGGCACGATTTCCGGCTGATCCCCTCTCCTGCACCTTCACGTAGGCTTCATTAACCTTCAATCAGCTGACTATATTAGTAGTCTTAAGCCAATGTAGGCCGTGTAATCATAAACACAATAATGAACGCTGGAAAACTAATGCTTACGTGCTCTCCGCGGGAATCGAAAGAATGCATTAGAGAAATAGTTCCATGAAAATTATAAAACCGGATGAATACAACGGATCTCGTCGATGTTATGGAAGCGAGTTCGTACTTTTCATTCAGCCTCTACCTGTCGTACCCCTTGATGTCTAGTTTCATCGCTGTGGCTCGCGTGCCAGACACTAATTCGGAGAAGTCACCAGAATATAAACTAGGGCACCTGCGTCCGTGTGTTAAATTTTAGAATTAATTTCGAATATAGAGAGGACTCTCCACACTTTGCCAGCGGTAATGTGCTCCGATAACAACGTTTATTGACGAATGAATCGAATCAATCACTTGTTTTATTATAGGAGGAGATATATCTCCTATGCTCCAAGGCAAAAAATTTCATGAAATTTCTCAGCCCTTAATTATGTTACACACCAAATTTTGAATTTTATGTTAAATGTATTTCTCCTATTACCAGAAAGAGTGAGGATACAAAAATTTTGGCCACACTGTAAGCACAATATGACCAAAAATATCGTCATCAGGCATTTTCCTTTAAGTGTCTATATTCACCCGAGAAAAAATAAAAAAAACCTGCCTAAAATTCAAGTCGGCACGTTTGAATTTAAAATTTTGGCGAATAAAGAAGCATATTAACTCATAAAATGACGGCAGCCGTTTACAAGGCATATGTTACCATTAAACGAGTGTAAAATTTAATTATTCGATTGTAATCACAGAGAAATACTCCATTTATACATCGACTACTAAGTCAGAAATGGCAACGGACGAAATCAAGCGTTTTTCTGACTCAGCCGCGGCTCACTACACATGTACCGGGAAGCAACAACCGCTCTGAGCAGTTAACATGTACCGTTACTATAGGAAAATGAGCCAATGTACACAGGTGGCACAATAGTGTTAAGCCCATCGAATTAAAGTTGAAAATGAAAATCGTAAAAAATTCCGTCTAAACCTTGAGAGTATCTTATAAATTACTTTATACGTAGTTACCTCATTGTTCCTAAGCTCATATGACTCTGCGCAACTGCTGTAAGCAGCGAATAGCAAATATAGAGAGACACATGTAAGTAAGTACACGGGAGACCTCTATAAGAGAGACTAACTATATAGTATTTAAGAACCAGCGCAAGCAGTGCCTGAATAAAATCCAATTCATTTCAAAATCAAGCGAGTCTAATCCTAAATTCCTGAAGCATTTTTTTCGCTGACTGAGCCGAGTTCGGTGGATATACCTCTATAATATTATTTAACCGAAATCATATCCCGCTGGGGTTAATTATCAATCATAAGCAGTAGCACTGAGTAACAGAGTAATGAATCGACTCCACTGCCACCCCAATAGTATACACACACTGACATCATCTAAATCATCGCGCTGCGAACTAGAGAAAAGCGCGCGGAAAAACGCAGCGTTTTGCTGACTAAATGGTACGTCTGCTAAATACGTGACGGTTCTCGCGTGACGACACGGCCACGCGTCGACTCCTTTATCGGCCGTCTGCGCGTGCGCGTGTTAATAGAAGACGCCGGATGTCCGCTGCGTCACGTAACGAGGCCAGAATTCCGGCAAATAAACTCCCCGGCTTACGAATGCCTCCGGCGGAACGGCTTCACACAATCATCTATATGCATGTCACGTGCTATGTCGCGCGTTTCTCAAGAAAAAAACCATCGCAGGTTACCTTAATTTCACGCTAATTGTAGTTATTGCTGATCACTGATTCCGTACCCGACGAATTTACTTAATTGGTGTCAGAAATCATAGCTGGATTTCATTAAATACTATGATTGCGACCGTCGCATCTGTTATTTTAGGGCCAATTTGAATTATTGTACAATGGCAAGGAACCTGCGCCATGCGTTACAGGTACCCTCTATTCGCACATCCAATTAGTGGGCTAGCTCCCTAACGGTGGCTGCGGCTGTTCTTCTCACAACAACTGACGGCGTGCGTTTCCTATCTGAGATTAAATAACAATAGATACCAGCTACGTCCCTGACCGATACAAGACAAATATATGGAGTTATTAACAACCAAACATGGCGCGCCACGGCGCTTTATGAGTTATCATATAAGCAAGTATATAGTAATCATGGCAACTAAATGAGTAACCGTACTTAGGTTGAATAGCCACACTGCGTATATCGTAAACTGAGTGCCGTCTTCCTTACAACTGCATGTCCGAGCAAAGACATATTATGATGTTGTAGGGACATCACGCATAAAGTGCGGTCTGATTAGCACACAGAGTTGTTGTGTGTGCGTGCATGTGCGCGCGCGTGCGTGTGTGCGTGTGTGTGTGTATGCGTGCGTGCGTGTGCGCGCGTGTGTGCCCCTATATATATACTCTCCTCCCAATCGGACTCTCTCTCTCTCTTCTCTCGCTTAATTTCGCCCTCTCTTCATTCCTCCCCCCCTTTGTCTCCTCTCGTCGCCCCTCTCTCTCGCCCCCCACTCTCTCTCTGACTTCGCCTCTCTTCCTCCCCCCCCTCTCTCTCTCTGCTTTCGCTCTCTTCCCATCCTCTTCTCTCTCCTCGCTCTCCTTCTCTTCGCTCTCTCTCTTCCTTCTCACCGCGCGGTAAAGATCCATGAATTATTCTTTAGAGTTCTAACGAAAGTATACGACATTCATTAACATGGCGTTATTATCTATAATTATAATATCATAAATATTTCATGTTGCCGGCGATAGCAGTAAAGGCGATGACACGTATAATTCGGCGTGACTGATCATCGATCATGAGCTGTCACGAGCCGTGTATTACGCGGCGCGCGTGCGGTGCGTGCGTGCGCCGCGTGTCGTGTGTTCTTGTAGTAGTGTGTGTGTGCGCGTGTTGCTCCCGTGCCGTGCGTGGCCGTGTCGTTCATGGTCGTGGTTACGTATTTGCGTACACGAGATGCGTTGATCGTGCGATATGACGTCTGCTCGCGTGCCGTGTCTTTTATGTATTGTATTGTAGAGGAGGGAGAGAGAGAGAGAGAGAGAAAAAGAGAGGAAGAAAGGAGAGGAGGAGTAGAGAGAAGAGAGAGAGAGAGACGAGAAGAGAGAGAGAGAGAGAGAGAACGAGAGAGGAGAGAGAAGTGAGTGGAAGAGAGAGAGAGAGAGAGATGACGAGAGAGAGAGAGAAGAGAGAGAGAGAAAGGGATGAGAGTTGTGGTAGAGAGAGAGAGATAAAGAGCAGACGAGAGGAAGCAGAGAGAGAGAGAGAGAGAGAGAGAGAGTGTGTGTGTGTGTGTGTGTGTGTGAGAGAGAGAAGAAAGGCATTAGCAGCGTATACTTACTGCGTGTGTCTATGTAAGTGTCATCTACTAACTTTACGAACGGGTTTTCGAAGTAGATGTGATAGTAGGTGCCTTCCCACGACAGCTGCGCCGTCACCTGTATGTCATTCTCCTCCAGTACCTATAGAAGCAGAAACCATGCAGCAGCAGCAGCTGCGTTTCTTAAAGCTGTCAATACGTCATGCGGAACGTTGACGCGTCAACACGCCACATATAGTACGTACCGACTGTGAGCAAGATTTTTACGTTAGAGCCGCGAAACGACAAATAAAAAGTTAACCAAATCGTTACATAAAACTAAATCCGAGGTACGCGCTAGCGCACCCTCTAATTAAGACGCGACGTAAATACATTCATTGTGAATAGTTCCGGTTTTTTTTCTTCCAAGGAAGTTGCATTGCAGTCTACAGTATATGGTTACGCCACGCTGTATCCAGGCCCTGCATTCAGGGTTTCCGTGTAATAGGGCGTAAAGGGTAGTGGGTGTGTTTAGTCCGTGCTATGCTGTCTACTGTCTAGTGAAGGGTCCAACAAGGAAGTCCACTCAACATTTCAACCTCCGGGACACGATAATTAACAGGTGAAGCAAGAGCGATGATCATAAGCACCCGCATAGGCTTCCTATTCATCACATGCAACCTTCTCTACTATATATAGAGAGGCCATAGATGAGCCACCGCGTTATATACACTCGTAACGCGTCGGTTACGAACGCGACAAAACAATAGAACGTGCGTTGCGCGGCAGTCACGAAATGGTGAGAAAAACCGCGTGTTCAGTTCCATGAGCAAATTCCGCGTTTGTTTGTTTGGGCGTCTGCAATGTTTGACAAAGCCGTTCACCCGCACCTCAGCGGTGCCGGTTACTACGCGAGAATCGATGACGTCATTACGTTTTGCTGCGTTTGCGGCTCCATTCCATAGCCCTAGAGATTTTACGAATTAGTGGTACGGAAAAAAATAAACGCGTACCGCGTGACGCGCTGGGAGCAATGGCGACGCCCTGCCGCGTCTTTAACGATAGCGTTGTCGGATTCCATATCTGAACGCGCGTTCGCTTTTAGCGTCGGCTCAAGCACGCATCGATTGAGCGACGGTGCGGAAATGAAATTTTGTAAAAAGCGCAAGTAATTCGAAACCGTATATGTGACTATTGTTGCATCTAATCTGAATGCCGCGAGGATTTTATGGCGTAAAACGTTACACTTGCAAAAAATACATGCCGACAAAGAGAAATAGAGAATAGGTGGAGATGATGAAGACTTTGAAGTAACTGTAAACGAGATTACTTCTCTCTATTTCATTTCTCTCTTCTCCTCCTCTCGCTTTAACGCGCGCTCTCTCTTTTTTCTCTCACCTACCCATCAATCACGCTCGTGCGTTCGTGCTACCTCTCCCCCTCCATCGCTTCTCCTTATCTCGCTTTCTCTCTCCCTTTTGCTCTTGCTTGGTCTGGCTTACTCTCGCTCTCATCTTCTTTTATATTCTCGCGCTTTCTCCCTCTCACTTGCCTCTCACTCTCATCCTGTCTCTCGCTTCCATTCAGGAAGGCTGGAGAGAGTATAGAATGTCATTAAGAGCGGATCTTCTTACCTTGGCGACGGTGTTGGCTACATCCTTCAACCTAGGAACATCCGTGTGTAGCAGCACCACCTTATGCCAGCCGAATGTCCTCAGCACTGACGCCACCGACTTTGATATCTGGATCTCTCCCGGTCTCGTCCTGGCAAACGTCGGAAACAATTCCTTGTTGGAAACTTCATTGTTATCACAGAACTGTAAAGAAAATCACCGCCTATTCATCTTCCCACGCACACACAAGGATTATAACGTACAGGCTAACCGAGCGTGGCTAATGTATCATTTACTCGATGCCATTTTCACCCGCGGGTCCCAGTAGCTACTAATTCCACCTCACCAGCTCTCTGCTGCTCCATAGTCACTCGCTTTCATGCTGCAAATTTCCTGTAATCATAAAACACGAGTTCCCGATTCTTTCGGCTTCAGCAAATTCGGAAACGGCGGCCAGATTGCTATATAAGCGGACGAGTGTAAGCGATAATTGAACCACGTGAAGGCGGCGGGGCGAACTTTGATGTTTGTCTGCGTCTACGTCGTCGGCACAGCCTGCGTCATGTGTGCGTCGTACGTACGTCATGTGTGCGTCGCACGTTGATGACGTGAGGTGAAGTCAGTCAGATCACCAATAACGTGTGTGCGTGCGTGTGTGTGTGTGTGCGTCCGCGCGCGTGTGTGTGTGTGTGCGTC